GCTAATCCGTGCCATTGAACATGGACACTGGGCAGATGAGGAACTTGTTCCATATGGCATATCTGACAGTGAAGGATGAGTTAGCAGTCTTCAATGGCTTGGTGCTGAGGAACACACGCATTGTGTTGCCAGTTTCGTTACGTCAGCAAGCAATCGAATTGGCCCACGTCGGACATCAAGGTGTCGTCAAGACCAAGAGCTTGTTACGCGAGAAGGTTTGGTTTCCGGGTATAGACCGTTTGGTGGAAGACCGAATTAAGCAGTGTTTGCCATGCCAAGCTGCTACCACCAACAACGCAGAAGGACCAGAACCTCTCAAGATGACAACACTATGGCCATGGAAAGAAGTGGCAGTAGATTTTGCCGGTCCATTTCCGACGGGAGAATACTTGCTAGTAGTGGTAGATGAGTATAGTAGGTTTCCAGAGGTAGAGCTGGTGACAAGTACATCATCGAAGGCCACAATTGCTAAACTAGATAGCATATTTGCCAGGCAAGGTATACCAGACACAGTGAAAACCGACAACGGACCACCGTTTAATGGTGCAGAATTCTTATCGTTTGCAGAAGAGTTGGGATTTCATCATCGACGTATTACACCGTTGTGGTCACAGGCAAATGGAGAAGCTGAACGATTCGTGAGAACACTAAATAAGACAATCCGAGTGTCTAACATCGAAGGTCGAAATTGGAAGCACGATTTAGTTCGATTTCTTCATCAATATCGAGCGACGCTGCACTCGAGCATTGTGATGTCACCAGCAGAGGCCCTCAACAACCGAAAGATGAAGGTACAACTACCAGAAACTAACCTTCAGGGAGACAGGGAAGCTCGAGATATTCGTGCAGTCGATAAGCGGAGGAAGGACAAGATGAAGTCTTATGCTGACTACAAACGCCCTGCAAGAGAGAGTAGGATTCAAATTGGTGATACCGTCATAGTGAAGCAGCAAAGGTCGAATAAGCTGTCTACACCGTACGATCCACGACAATACAAGGTGCAGAATCGAAAAGGGAGCATGGTAACAGCTAAGCGGGGAGATCATGAGATAACACGCAATCTTTCGAAGCTCAAACGCGTACATCCAGTCGCGAATGGAGAAGAAATGGATGATGAAGTAATGGTGGAGTTACCACTGGACGAACCACACGATGCTCTACGCGACAACGCAGAGGGGAACGTCAGACGCTCTACACGTACCAAGCAAGCGCCTACGCGTTTCAAAGAGTTTGTTATGCATATTTAGATTCAAGGTAACTTACAGACGACGTTAGGAGCTGTAGGTTAAAACATAGCTGTTTGCTAAAGAAATGGATTTTATATTGTGACTTACTACTAGTGTAGAGATTACTGTTTTCAAATGTTGAACCGATGAACAAGTTTGGTTAACGCATAAAGATTTTCACTTAAAGTCCAGTTGAGCCGATGTGTCTATAACATACAGATACTGAAATGAGTCTAAAGTTTGCGCAGACAAATATAATTTTTAATCCAAGTAGAGGAGGAATGTAGTGTAGTTAGTATGTTATGCTTTACTTTCTGTATTCGTTTACGAACACGTGATCTATGACATTATTGTATATGCAACACGTCACGGTGAGAATAAAACATACGGGGTCCTTGAGCCTGTGTGATGAACAGAAACAGACGTGTTTAATTGAGTGTTCAGAGGCAAGAGCTTACAACACTATACAGTCCAAACACTTCAGAGTAAATGTTAGGTTTGGTGGTGTTGACATACTGCTGTGCCTTGACGTAGATCGAGCAAAGTCTACTCTATCAAAGCTGGCGGTGTACGCGGACACTAACCGTGTGGTAGAAAAAACCCAGAACGCCTAGAAAGTCAATAGACATTAGACACTCCTTGGCATTACTTTATAGCTATAGCGCTATAACCGCTATAGCGACCATCAAAGCTGTAGTGTTTTTTAGTTTGGCTTAGTTCAGGCTACCATTTTGTATTGTTTTTAAAAAGAGATCTGAATTTGATTACGACGTTATCGATGGATATGAAATCCGCAATTTCCGATCAACCTCGTTCGAACGGTGAAGTACGTAAGTAAAGTATCATTTAAAGTTTTATCTTTTAAAGTTATCTTTAAGTTCATCTTTAAGTTTATCTTTAAAGGTTTATCTTTTAAGTAAGTAGTTTTAAAGTAACGCACTCATTTTTTGCCAGCTCGAATACTAACCAAAAATATCCAAAGCTAATTGTCGTGATCTGTGGTCACGACTATTGTGGATTTATATCAGAAACTTATCAAAGAGATTAACACACGTTTATGCCGGAATAGAGTACCGAAGTGATGACGTCACGGTGGCATGACAACGAGCCTGCTGGTTCTACACAATCATATGCTCTGGTAACATTAACTGCGTGTCGTGTTTTGTACCCGATTGTAACCATCATTCTGAGAGTCATTATTGCAGTTTTTATAGATTTCAAAAGGATGGAAGGGAAAAGCAAGCTTTTTTTTTTAATTAATTTTTTTTTAATTCATTAAATATTGTAAGATCGACTTGCTACCGCATGCTTACCGCTGTCGCAGCGCACACACTCGTGTTTTACGTACGCACAACATTTTCACGCCAGTTAATGTTATGGAGCCAGGGCTTGTGTAGAACAAGCCCGTGCGTTGTCTTGGCAAGNCTCAACAACCGAAAGATGAAGGTACAACTACCAGAAACTAACCTTCAGGGAGACAGGAAAGCTCGAGATATTCGTGCAGTTGATAAGCGGAAGAAGGACAAGATGAAGTCCTATGCTGACTACAAACGCCATGCAAGAGAGAGTAGAATTCAAATTGGTGATACGGTCATAGTGAAGCAGCAAAGGTCGAATAAGCTGTCTACACCGTACGATCCACGACCATACAAGGTGCAGAATCTAAAAGGGAGCATGGTAACAGCTGAGCGGGGAGATCATGAGATAACACGCAATCTATCGAAGTTCAAATGCGTACATCCAGTCACGAATGGAGAAGAAATGGATGATGAAGCAATGGTGGAGTTACCATTGGACGAACCACACGATGCTCTACGCGACAACGCAGAGGGGAACGTCAGACGCTCTACGCGTACCAAGCAAGCGCCTGCGCATTTCAAAGAGTTTGTTATGCGTATTTAGATTCGTGGTAACTTACAGACGACGTTAGGAGCTGTAGGTTAAAAACTTAGCTGTTTGTTAAAGAAATGGATTTTATATTGTGACTTACTACTAGTGTAGAGATTACTGTTTTCAAATGTTTAACTGATGAACAAGTTTGGTTAACGCATAAAGGTTTTCATTAGAAGTCCAGTTTAGCCGATGTGTCTATAATATACAGATACTGGAATGAGTCTAAAGTTGACGCAGACGAATATAATTTTTAATCCAAGTAGAGGAGGAATGTAGTGTAGTTCGTATGTTATGCTTTACTTTCTGTATTCGTTTACGAACACGTGATCTATGACACTATTGTATATGCAACACGTCACGGTGGGAATAAAACATACGGGTTCTTTGAGCCTGTGTGATGAACAGAAACAGACGTGTTTACTTGAGTATTCAGAGGCAAGAGCTTACAACACTATAGTATTAATCATGTATTAATTATTAAACAAAATATGTTATTATGCTCCATATTAAAACCGTCTTCACTCTCACCTGTGATCGAGCGGATTAGATTCACTTATAGCTACCTGTTGACGAGGCAGGGCTCGCCATGGAGGCTGCACGTCAACACGAGGTCCGTCAAATTCTGCCCAAACTCGTGTCTCCTCTTCAGATTATCCGGGGAGCTGTAGAGGTTGCCGATGAAATTGCGGAATCTATCGCCGCTCGTTCCGTAATCGCCAATCTCGTCAAAGTCACGGTCTTGTTCGTCCTCTACCTGAATATATACAATTCCAATGAAATAAAATGTCCTCAATAGAATGTCCGCGCTATTATTACAACAAGGTTTCATTATGCTGTGTTATATTAGTGTCATATGATAGGAGTCTCATCAGGATCATCAGATGGAGTAGGGTCAGGGTAGACGCGATAGACAGAAGTTGGTGAGGAATGCTGTTTTGGCAGACGGGCACACAGGCACGCCCGCACATGCACGTATACACACACACGCGCACGTACACACACACACACACACACACACACACACACACACACACACACACACACACACACACACACACAGTCCAGCGTCGAGTCCGCCGTCCGGTCGGGAGCTGCC